TACAAACTTTACTGCTTATACCCTTCCTGTAATATCATACTTTTAACACAGCTACTACTACTTTTATCACACAGTCAGCATATAGACGCTGATTTTTGACCCGTTAACATGGTCTCTTACCTGGTACTACAGAGTTCTGTGTTGAACTGGACGAAGAAGGATCTCCGCTGCCACTGGGGCCTGCATTCACTGGGGTCTGTGGTTCCTCCTGTTCCAGCCTAAAAAACAGCATTGCCTTCAGGCAGGCTCACAGTGGTCCTACACATCTTTCCCACAAAGAATCTAGAAAGCAGCTTGTTATTGACATTAGTGGAGCACAATTTTGCAGGGCTATGATACGCACACTGTGCATATCACCATACACTAAACCATGAAAATGAAACAGTAAAAATATTCAGCTTATAAACCTCTGAAGAACATTAGATATATCAACATCTTAAAAGCCTTAATTTCTTGCTGAAACATTAGAGGTGGCTGCTGATTCTGCAAGCGCCTTTAACTCTTTTCCACGAAAGCTTAATTCTGGCCATTTTACCATAACCCCTGATTACAAGAAAAGCCACCCTTGAAAGCATCTAAGTCTTCACAGCATAAAGCAAGAGACAGTGTGGTAAAACACTGATGTCAATTCAAAAATATTTTGCCATTCTCTTCATGACAATTTCACTGATGAGGTTCAGAAACATGCAAAATAAACAAAAGTTTAACGAAAACTCAAAGAAAGAAAAGTCTCTGCTTTTGTAATAAATATCACAGTCAATAGGGTAACTGTACCTTTCTTCTTTTTGAAATAATTTAAATGAGCACATTCAGTACTGATGAGCAAAATTCCACTGGGACGTTTTCTGAATCACCCGTACAATTCTCACTTTTTAACACAGGTCTTATTACATGTCATCTTAAAAGCATTAGGCCAAGACATTTTGCAAGAGCTGTAATTTATTGAAAAAAAATTTACAAATTCTAGCTCTAATACCAGCTTTATTGCCCTTTGCTGATACAACTTTGAAGATAGTTAAACAATGTAACCTACCTCCAAGGGGAAAAACACCCCACCCCAAACCCAAGTACTCTGATTTAAAGCTTTTTAATAAAATCCTTTTAATTCTATATTCACTGAATTAGGGCCCATTTTAAATTTCTAACTTTTCATACACAAATACAACTAACAGGGCAACTCATATATATGTGTATGTGTCTTTTTCTCTAAAAATATATTTAAAAAAATGCTTACAGCATTAAAGCAAAGGATTGGCCTCTTTTACTCCTGCAAGGAAAGAGCATGGGGAAGAAAAAGAGCCATAAAAATAGCTCACAGGCAAGCATAAGTTCTAAAGTTTAAAATGTGCTTTTCAGTTTTCAAGGCAGTGGGCTATTCCTGAGACATTGCTTCAGTTTCCTGATCTGCTAGATGTGGGATTATTACCACATTACTTAACATGCTTTCAAACTTTGAGGAAGATCCTTTACACTAGTAGACACCGAGGCATAAAGTAAATGGGCAGGTGGAATGAAGTACTTACTCACAAACATTTTTCTTCCCTGAACTATCTTTACATATTCATAAAAAGTTTATGGACTATCAGGCACACCTGAAAGGTAGCTCACGGAAACACATTTCAGCTCAAAATCAATATACAGTTGTGAACAGATGATAAATATCCAGAAGTCAATGCAATTCCACTCCCACTAGGTATGACAGTCCCTAGAAGTACTGTCCCCCAGATTTTTAGATGGCAGCCCTCCCAGTTCTAGATAGCCACCATTCTGCAAATTTCATTAGGCATAACATCTAACGGCTTAACCCATGCTAAGCACAAGCTGCACACACTTGCCTTTCAGCACGGTTGTTGCGACTGGGTCTTGTGTACCGATGGGGATGGCAGCTGTACTTGCGATGGCTCCATCCACGCTTTTCTTTGCCTCTCCAGTAATTTCTCTTCATTTCCACCTACAAAGCAAACATAGGCACATACTTCAACGCAACTTGCCCGGAACAGCCCGACATACAAGACAGTCTCTTAACACAGACGCTTTTCAACCACTTTCAAACAGCTTCGCAGTGAGATCAAAAACACTGAATAAAAATATTTACTTTCAACCACTCTCAAGTCCAAACGGCATCGGACGTTAAAGAAAGGCAGAACAGCACCGCCGGCCGCTCGGAGGGAAGCTGCGGTGAGCGCCGTGCGGTGCTGACCGCTCCTGCGGCACTAAAACGTCTTCTCCGGCCGAGTTCCCATGGGCGCAGGGCCGAACAGCCTCACAGCCGGGCTGGAGCCGGGTGTCCACAGCCGCCAGTTT